CCTATGACCTTCGCTCCCATCCCTGTTTTTTCATTTGTTGTTTCCAGTATTCAGTTGTGGCCCGTGTCCACTGGTCCCTCCCCTCAGATGGGGGGGGGAGGGCTTTAGCTATGGTTAGGCCTAGGCCTGCCATCATCCCCTCTCTTCACCCCATTTCCACAATATGTACACACCTTCCAACTTCTGCAACAAATGAGGCTGCGATTCTGTAGATAACAGCCTTCTTTACTAAAGAACCCTGATTTATCTGCAGATCACATCCACCCTGTGCACTGAAGGAGGCAGGGGTCAAGTGGAAAAAACAGTATGTGATAACGTAATTAAAGACTATCAAAATGCATACTTACAAGGCAGCCAAATAAGGCAACCTTAATTCTGACATTCCTTACTTTTGAGTGCTTGACCTTGCAACCTTAATAACATTTCATTTAACCCAGTTTTTGTGTGTGTAATTAAAATTAAATTGGCCATATCCTGCACAATCAATTTCTTGCGATTGCAGTGGTGAGAGACATTGGCTGACCTCTGGTTGTTTTCAGTGCAGTGTAATTTTTGAAAGCAAGGGCATTGTGCAATTACGAATTGCTCCTTTATATTACAGGTAAGAACAATTTAAAGGGCTACTATATTTCACAATGCAACTATTCCGAGAAAGGATGATTTAATTTTGTTAAAAGCAAGATATGACATGAGATGCGTGACAAGTGACTTGTATTTTATTTAAATTTTTGTTGAAACATATCATGGAAGAGCCATTCTTAGGTGCAAACTAGATACTAGGCTGGTAACAAATGTAAAAAGCTTTGGATATAAAGTAATTCCCCTAGGCTGGACTGACACAAGAGCAAACTTAATACCTGTTATTTTAAATCTACCGTTTAATTTTATGAGTCAGTTTAATCTTAATACTATTTCTTAAAATAATGACAACAATTGTTAAGCAAACAAGAAGAGCCAACCAAACATGGATTAGACAGCAATATTCATACGCTGGAAGAGATGCATGTTAAACTGCCTACTGGAAAGTTTCTTATATCTTCCTCTGAAGTAGCTGGTATTGGCCACTGTCAAGAGACAATATACTGGACTAACTTGACCATGGCTGTGATCCAGTCTGGCAATTTCTATATTTCTATGTGACCAGGGAATTGCTTGAATTTCCCATATGTTAAAAACACTTTTAAGGCCTAGAGTAGCAGAGGACTATGGGCAAGGCTCACCCAGACTTGATTGGCACCAGTCCCCAAAAAGCCACATCCAGTTACCTGAGATTGGGAGAAGTAGATCAAGAGCTCTGGGGAATGGTTTTGGTCCCTGGGAACAAAGAGACACTTATGCTGCTAATAGCCAGGGTATCAACAATACAGGAAGAGGCTCAACTGAAACCTCTGTCCCTCACCCACCACACACAATAATGTCAGTATATTGTATTTTACAACTTGGCCTCTGCACATTATTTTCCTTCTACTGATTAGCTGTTTATTCCAATCTGCTCCATCCCACTTCCCTCAAAGTCCCTGGTGACAAATTCACTCTCCATACTCTTCTCCATCCTTCCTCTCCTGCTCTCTATAGTCACACTTTTCCTACTAACTCACTCGTTAACTCTTTAATTCCCTTTTCTTGCCATTCTCTATTCCATAATAAAAAAAACCATGTAATTAACAAGATCTGTCGATCATTACTTTGATCAGTAGGGATATGACATTCAACCTTGGAGTCTTCTGCTTTGACTGCCTGCCTTCAAACATGCTAATGTGACAGGGAAACCTGCCCACCCAGGAAAAAAGGAGAATGAAAAAACAAGCCACAATTAGTTTCCATATACAGTTTGACATACGACTTTTTCCATGCCTTGTGCATGTAGGCTGGAATTTGTTCCCCTTAGCCTGGAAGTTCTCTCCCCTTGCCTCAGGTGTTTTATGATAATGACTCAAGTGTCTGTTTACAGCTTCTAAGCTAATTTCAGATTTTTGACATTGTTCCTGCCTTTTGTTCTGCTGTTTGATTAGTTCAGGCTACTTTATTATCTATATAACTGTGGCTAGGGTTAAGTGAAGTCTATCTTCAATTGAAGTTGTTGTGAAAGATTTTTATCTGTTAACCCAAAAACCAGCCTGTCTCTGATACGTTCAAGTTTTGCAGTTTCAGAGCTTTTATGAAATATTCAACATTTTCCCTTGGTTTTTGAATTTTCTGGTGAAAACATGCTCTTTCATAAACTACATTTTCTCTGAGGCACAAAGTATGCATCACACATAGCCAGAACCCTCTCACAGTCATCTTTGTGACCGTCTTCAGTAAAGTCAAAGGATTTAAAGATAGGCTCTGCCTGCTTCCCCATCACTCAGATTAAAAAAACTGACTAAATATCTTGTTTCTTGGTGGAGCTTTGTAGCAATCTGAAATCTTGTAAAATACTGCTTCCAGACTGTCCATTGTGAAGTCCTGTAAAGCAGAAGCTCTGTGAGGCATTGAAAAGTACCATACTGATGAAATCCTGCAACCTTTGTTGCTTTGTTCCCTCTCTCTGCAGCTTTTGTTGCTTTATACCTTCTGTTTGTTCTCTTCTGGCATTAGTTTACTTCTGACACCTGCCATGTACTTATCCACGGTAGGATGCAAGGCTGCTAATAGAAGGTCAGGCTTCTGTATCAGATATACATTGACTACAGAGCTTACCGCTCAGAAATACACACCAGATATGTTCACTATAAGATCCTTTAACGCTCCTTGTGGCTGAAAAGTATAATATGGTTTACCATTCCATTACTAAAGTTGCTAAAGACTCCAGTCAGAATTGGTGCCTCATTACTCTGGGCACTAATCAAACAAAGAGAGAGTCAATCCTGCCCTAAACAGATTATAATCCAGGATACTTAAAAACAAATGAAAGGCAGGAAAGAAACACAACATTGCTATTGTCAGACACTTAGGACATAGCTACATGTGCAGATGTAGAGCGCTTTGAGTTAAACCAGCCTTTGTAGAGTGCAGTAGGGAAAGCGCTGTAGTCTGTCCACATTGACAGCTGACAGCACACTGGCATGGCCACATTAGCAGCTCTTGCAACGGCCACAGAGAGCACTGCATTGTGGTAGCTATCCCAGCATGCAAGTGGCTGCAACGTGCTTTTCAAATGGGAGGTGGGGGTGGAGTTTGACAGGGAGTGCGTTGTGTGTATGTGGGGTGAGAAAGAGTGGGTTTTTGGGGGGCTGAGAGCATGTAAGCATGCTGTCTTGTAAGTTCAGACAGCAGCAGACCTCCGCCTCCCCTCCCCGCCTCTCTCTCTCTCACACACAGCAGTCCACAGTAATGGTTGCTTTGTCTCGGAGCAGATAAGCATGCCGCTGTTAAACGGAGCTTTCAAAGGGCATATCCAAAACAATGACAAGAGTGACCACTTGACTTAAAGGGATTATGGGACGTTTCCAGAGGCTGATCAGAGTGCAGTAATGCAACACCTCGTTCACACTGATGCTGGGGCACTCCAGCGGGAGCGCATCAAAAGTTATTCTACTCGTTAAGATGGAGTACCAGGAGCGCTTTAGCCGTGGAGTCAGAGCGCTCTACGTGCCTTGCCAGTGTGTTAGTGAGCTAGTGCGCCCGGGGCTCCTTTAATGCGCTGTAACTTGCAAGTGTAGCCAAGCCCTCACACACACTCCTACAACCCTAGGATCGGGGCCCTGCTTTGTAAACATGAAGTAAAGTCATCAAGAATGAAACTGCAGCAAAAAGTTCCTGTCAATAGATTAAATATCTAGATCATTGCACAATTGTACTACAATGATGAACTTAAAAGTCCAGATGCCTATATCCTTTTTGTCAGGAGGAACATCAGCCTTCTTGAAATTTATGAGTTTTTCTCATCTGATTTCTTGTTCTACCATAAATCAAGTACTCTTTACCTGCGTGGGTATTTCACAGTATAAGTAATAATAATAACACAACACTTTTCATCAGTATATCTTAAAAAGCTTTACAAAGGCTGGTCAATATCTTTATCCCCATTTTACAGACAGTGAAATAAAGGCAGATAGGTGAAGTGATTTGCTCAAATACACCCAGGTAGTTGTTGCTCTATCCACAAGGCCATACTGCCTCCCTGTATTTATTAATGACAGGTTTCAGAGTAGCAGCCTTGTTAGTCTGTATCCGCAAAAAGAACAGGAGTACTTGTGGCACCTTGTTAGTCTCTAAGGCGCCACAAGTACTCCTGTTCTTTTTGTATTTATTAAATACATCAAAACTGTTGACACATTTTCCAAAAAGATCTTGATTTTGTTTTTGTCAGTTGTCTAGGCATATATTCAGAAAAAAGAGCATTAACTCCCATGTTACCTATGTTGAGTTTAGGTTGGTTGCACATGGGCAGAGGAGTCTACCTAGAGGGACCAGACCGCAGGATCAGTGCCTAGGTTATTAGTTTTGTTTCAGATCTTTATTAGACACTCTCTTTCCCCCTTGAGCACAGAGCACCTAGCACAAGGAGACCACGATCCCAAATTTGGGCTTGTGCCGCCGCACTATTCATATCAAGGCAAAGCAAAAAGGATTTTGTGCGGCTGGTTCAAAGCCCTTGTGGGGTTGCGGGATTTGTTGTTTAAGCACCGTGTGGTCCAGCGCTAGAAGAGCCACAGGCCGGGCACGGTGCACGCGAGGTCGGACGCACGCAGGGGATATTTTGAGCCAGAGAGGGGCGCTGATCACTAGGGACACGGGACCTGGCTGTGGGCGCAAAGCTCCCGGCTCCAACCCGCGGGCGGGTCACCGGGGAAAGGGCATCGCCGGGCCCAGGCCCTGACTACTGGGAGGCCGCTGCGACAGCGGGGCGCGAGCGCTCCCCTACCCGGCCACGAAGGCGGGACCCGCCTCGCCCTAGAGCCGAGCGGGCTGGGCCAGGCGGGGCAGTGGCCGGGGCGGACCCCTAGTGACACCGGCCGGAGCCAGCGAAGGGAAGACCCGGCCTCTGAGCCCCGCACTCCCTGGGCGCCTCTTACTGTAGGTGACGGTCACGGTGACCGGGGTCCCGGCCGACGCCATCTCCGCCCGCCGCTGCCTTTGCAGGGAAGCGCCGCCACCAAGTGCTTCCGGGGCGCGCCGGAAACAGCTCTGCGGACCAGCCGGGGAAACAGCGGAAGCCGCTGCTGGGGACACCGGAAGGGAGTCCCAGCCCGGTCCCCTCCTCCCCCCCCCCCGCCACGGTGACGCAACCCCCGGGCCGCGGTGCGCTGCCGGGTCCCGCCCCCACAGACCCAGGGGAGCCTTGCGCGAGCCCACGAAGGCCGGTCCCGGCTTGCCCGGCTGGTTCCAGGAGCGCGCCCAGCTCGCGCAGCGATGGGAATCAGGCCCTCGCGTCTTAATGTTCGGCTACTGACGTTTTGGGACCTGCGGACTCAGTTTTTGAATGCTCGGGGCGTGCAGATATACAGCCCGCCTCACCCCCGCTTGCTGCTCTTCGGCTAATGGCCCCAGCAGGGAAGGGGAGATGCTCTATGCCCCCTGCTAGCGGGCCCAGGACTCCTGGAACCTAGTCCTCAGTCCTGCAACAATTCGCTTGTGTGTTACTTTGCACACGGTGTCATCCCATTCACTTCAATGACATCACTCACGGCGTTAAATCTTTATAGGATTGGGGCCCCAGGGCTCATAGATCAGGCTGTAATTAAAGTTCAGTTTGTGCTGTCCTGACCTATGGCCTACACCTGTTAAACTTTTGTTTTCTGCACTTTTCTCTTTTAGAACTGGCATCTTAAGCTTGTTGCACTCTATGAACACAGACCCGTTTGGTCCCTTCTCTAGTAGATCTTTTTGCATTTTATCAGGAAACATTCAAGTAAGGTGAAGTTGTAACACTGATAATTTTTCTAATCCTCAAATACAGAATTGACACCACTGTAATAATAAAAATGGAAAAATGCCCACAAAAGGTGTAAATCAGTTTTCTAAAAAAGTTCTGGATATTTGCACATTTTAACGAGGAGAGCAAAAGGGTACCCTATGCCAACCTAAAAATCAATGCAAACAATTATGCATCTGCAAATTTGAAAATTGAATGAGAGCTACAATATGCAATTGTACACTTCTTGCTTTTGTTCATTGCTGCCCAGAGGAAACAGGCATGTTCCTTATTAAGAGCATTTCCATTTATAAACCAGAAAAGCACTTTGGAGTATCTGCAGTAAGAGTGCAAGTATGATTACACCAACAGTCAGTTTCATAGCAACTTGGAAAAAAAATATGTTGACATTACTATTTTAGCACTTAAACTACAACAAATGGATAACTTGTTGAAAAACACCAAGCAACCTGATCTGTCAGCAGTCATAGGAAATACCACACTAGATCTGACCAGCGGTCCATCTGGTCCAATATCCTGTCTCCAAAAGCAGGCAGTACCAGCAACTTAACAGGAAGGTACAATACAGTGGGCATTTATAACATGTCCCCAGGAGGTTTCCTCCTAACCCCAGTAGTCAGAAATTGGTTTATGCCCTGCAGCTTGGAAGGGATATAAACCCTCTATTTTTTAATTATTTACTGTCATAACTGTGGTTAGTTTTTCTTTTTTTTCCCCACTAAAAAAGGGCAAGCAGGGAACATTTCCCATACTGCTACTTACTTTAAGGGGAAAGTGCTTTATAAGTATACGAAGGAAATGTTCATAATAAATACATTGTATGCAGTGTGGTAGCTGTGTTGGAACCAGAATACTAGAGAGAGAAGGTGGGGGAGATATCTTTTATTGGACCAACTTTTTAGTAAAGGATACAAGCTAATGAATTGTCTCCCTCACCAACAGAAGTTGGTCCAATAAGAAATTATCTCCCCTCCCTGTCTCCATAATAAATATGGTAATTAATACAGCTGGTCAACAATAGAACAAAAATTCTGTTGAAATTGTTTTTTCCATCAAAATGTTGGATGGAAATGTTGATTGCTTTTATATTTTTAGACCAACTCTAGTAATTAACTTAGTTAAAGATAGTAATTGGAATCCCATGCTTTCTAAGATGTCTCTTAAACAGAAGTTTGCCTTGCTCACTGTAAAAAAATGATTCTTGGGTATTTAGCTAAAAATCATATACAATTTCAATTTAGTTTCTGATAGGTCCTCTATTGGGAAGATGGGTTCTCTAACTTAAGTTATAAGTCTAAAATATTTAGAAACAATCTCCAAACAGTTCCAAAGGGCAATATTCTTCTATTAAACTATTTGCTTCCCCTGGCCAGACAATACTGGATTCTCATGCATAGTTAACTGGAGTTAGCCAACAATTAATGCAATGGGAATACAGATTTACAGTGATCCTAAAGATATCTAATTTTTGTTGTCACTTCACAATCTGTGTAAAATATTTGATTCCATACTAAATAGTTTAAAAATATCAATCCTGTAATGCAATGTTTTATTTACATTTCTTTAGATTAAATTAACAGAAGATGATTTACATAAAACGCTGTATACATGTCCAAAACAATTTGATCTAAAATCCAGTTTCCATCTATGTTATTTTAAACAGATTTTGAAATCTGACAATTTAAAATTCTGCTTTATACTAGATACAGTACTTAGGTATGTTCATCACCACTTAGATTTAGGAAGGGTATGTGTACTGCAACTAATTATTTTCTTTGCCTTCAGTTTCTCTTATGGGAAGAAAACGTCACATGTGTAGACTATTCCAGGCAACATTTCTCTAATGTACAAGCTTACTAATTGAGGGCTCTCTGTTCCCAACCAGTTAACAGTTCTAAGGCTTATTGTTATTATTATTTATAGCTTGATTCTTTAGCTGAAGGAAAATTTACTAGCAAGAACTAAGGTTACAGGTAAACTATTTTGTATTTTTGATTATATATGAATATGTTTACTTTTTCTAACCAAACTGTTGATTACAATTAAGGAGGGATGTGTTCTTAAAATGTATGTTGGAAAAATATCTTTATTAAGCATAAATAAGTTTCAGTTTCTGTACAACAAACATTTGTATAACTTCATTCCTGATAAAAATGGAAAACTATCTGGGCCATAGACAGTTCTGAAAGAGAGTCTGCTACAAGACTTGGCAATACAATCTTCAGTAGAAGAGATCTGAGTTGGAGAGTACTCTCACTCTTCTGGCCAATGGGTCCAAAGAAAGGGAGATGGCCATTTGTTCTATAACCACTTTTTGCTAGACAATCTACAGAGCAATAGTGGTCAGAGAAAGCTGTAATGCCCTGACTCAGGACAGGAGGAGAAGCACAGCAGTAGTAATGGCCTTACAGAAATGCTATTTTGGAATTCTAAAAGGGAGATGTATGAAAGGGTGGAGAAGTTTGAGGATCATGACCAACCTCCAGCTTTAGACCAAGCATGTTAAGGGAGGGCCCATGCTCAAATGCTGAATGATGAAAACAAGGGACAGGTTAAAACTGCTATCAAAAACACCACACAAGAGGATAAGCTACTCTATGGTATAAACTTTTATGTCAAAATGGAATACATAAAGTTAAAGATAACCTTTGTATATATTTGTTACAGCTGTAATTAAGAGTTACAAATACAATATCAAGTCTCAGAACTGAAGTATTCTTAAAAATGCATCCATTTGTTATTAAATCAGTACAGTAAGTAATAAGGAAGCTATCTTACAGAAGGTAAGCAGCCACATAGCCTTAGTTTGTTTCAGAAAACAGAAATATAATACAAATCAGATCAAGACAAAGCTCAACTATTAACAGCCACCACTATTTTTCATGTACTACTTCTTCCATAAAACACCGGATAATCAAAACCTAGTAGATTGAATGCATCCACTGAAGGAAATTGTGCCAATTTTTCTCCTCTAATAGAAAAGTCAGTAGTATATCAACTTTCTTCCAAGAAAGGAAACACCACCAGCCATTCATATTGCATTTTAAGATGTAGTGATATTAAGGTTATACTGAAAAGGCAAGTTTTCCAGGATTTCAAAAAATGTTTTGCTGATTTGATTTGTAAGAAGTAACTTGCCATTTCCAATGTGCTCTAAAAATGCATGTTTATGTAGCAGGGATCTGTGGCAGTCCAAATTCATCCACCAATACACCATCCTATGGGGAGGAAAAAAAAAAAGATATAGTTTAATCAATTAGGTATACAACCTTTAAGATTACTTTATAGTTTGGAGTTACAAGACAAAATAGGGGCATCAGTATTTTCTGTAGCCGACCTCACTTATCCATTTTATTATAGTCCAAAAAAAGTGAAAATTGAACATCAATCTGCTGACATATGCTTACATACAAAAGCCACGTGAAAAAAGTTGGAAGAACATGGAAAAAATGCTGGTTTAGATTTGCTTGAAAAAAAAAACATGTAAAAATGCTAAGTACACTATGACAGCCCTTTCAACTAACTACAGTCAGTACCTTCTGGGGAAATAGATTTTTACAGCAGAAAGACAACATTAGTTTGTACAGTAAAGTTGGCCTCCCAAAGCATAGAAGTGAAATCTATACAAGAGACTACCCTAAGCATCTCCAAACGTGCTAAGCCCAATTCTGCTCCACCTTTAAGGCTTTCCATTAAGCAATAGCTTTATCAGTGTCATGACTGACTGATTAAAACAAGTTTTACTGTACATTTATTAAATAAGAAGGGAAAAGGCCCACCTTGTTTTTCGCGTCAATAGGAGTGCCTTCTGGAATTGCTGGAGCAGATGCAGCTTCATCTAAATAGGAACTGTCCTCATCAACTAATAGCTCATCACCTAAGGCATCCAGTTCTGAAATTAAATTACATTACATACGTTACAGCTATACGAGGGCTGAAGGACTGATCGATCACGGTGATGTTAAATTAAGCAAGGGATTTCTTTGGCAAGGAAAAAAAAATACATGTAAAGGAAGTTACTGGGGGATGTGTTAAGAACAAAACCACAGGATCTGCCTTGGTGGACATGCCATAAGGCAGCTAGAGGAACACGCAAAAGGGGCTGTGACATTTTGTACCTTGGAGTAACCCCCATATTCCTCATTTTTATAAAATTGTGATCTTGCATACAATACATGCCTTGTAAGGTATCAGGGGAAAGGTTATGATCTGCTGAAAGTCTCTATCCATATATGTATATTTCTCTATCCATATATGTATATCATTAATGCATATGAAGTTATGAGAATTTT